GCACGGCAAAAACGCATAAAAATCGGTACAAACGAACACACAGACACACACACACAGACACACACACACACACACAGACACGCACACACACACAGACAACCTCTCGTCAATATGCGTCTTCTGCATTGCATAGCTGCAAAAAACGCATAAAAACCATAAGAACGCGACCGGGTCGCTGTGTAACTGGGTCGCTGTGCAACTTAACATGGGACGGCGGCAATTCAAATGTTTGACTCGGACTTTAGTTTTAGTTTTGGACCCGGACTTTTGCAGCACTGGTGCTTGTGCCGCCCGGGCGGGAGGAGGGGGTGAAAGACCCACCGCCGCCCCTTGGATCCATCTATGTCTCCGACAGAGGGCTTGTGCGCTTAGACGTTCACTCTTTCTCAAAAACCCTTCTTCAGCTGAATGGTGGCATAATGTAGAATACTTCTTTCTTCCCCATCCCCCCTCTAGGAGAGACGGCACTTCGAAGTTTGGTGCAAAAACGCATGATCGCACCGGCTCGGCTGGTACGTTCCAGCCTGGGTTGGATATATGCAAATGCGAAAACGCATATTGTGACGACCCCGGTATGTGTGTGTGTGTGTGTCTGTCCGGATATTTCAACTCGGCAACCAATCAAGCTCCAGTGCCAAAATTTTGCCAGTGGATTCCTCGGCCAGCTGCCACCCCAGGAGCATGGTACCGAACCTCGTGAACATCTAGGTCCCGCGTACGAGAGGATAAAAGTTTTGGCGGAAAAATCGCTAACTCGAGAACCAGAAAAGCTAGAAAGATGAAATTTTGAGGTTATGTTGAGGTTATTTTGAGGTTACGTCCTCACAGAACTCAAAGATTTCAAATTCAGCCTTCAAGTGTGCGTACCCGCATGGCCTCGTGAGGGTCCCTGGCGCGAAAATGGCTAACTCAAGAGCCAGGAAAGCTAAGAGGCTGAAATTTTCAGGAAGTGTTCCCAGCAAATGTGCAACTTAAAATCATCGAATTCAGCACCCAGGCATACGTGGTTATCACATACGGCCCCGTGAAATTTTATGGCGAGAAAATGGCTAACTCAGGAGCCCGAAAAGCTAGGAGGCTGAAATTTTCAGGAAATGTTCCCAGCATATGTATAACAAATATTTATCAGATTCAGTCTTCAGGCATGCGTGGTTATCGCGTACGGCCATGTGAAATTTTTTGGAGGGAAAGTGGTCAACTCAGAAGCCAGAAAAGCAAAAAAGCCGAAATTTTCAGGGAATATTCCCAGCTCATGTACAACCTAAAGTTAACGAATTCAGTCCCCCGATAAGCGTGGTCTTCATGTGCAGCCGTATGCTAGCTTTTGGCGGGAAAGTGGCTAACTCGGGAACCGGAAAAGCTGAGGAGCTGAAATTTTCAGGGAATGTTCCCAGCACATTTTCAACAAAAATTCGTCAGGTTCAGCCTTCAGGCATTCGTGGTTCTCACGTACGGTCCCGTAAAATTTTTTGACGGAAAAATTGCTAACTTAGGAAATAGGAAGACTGGGAACTGAAATTTAAAGGGTCTGTTCCCAATCCCCGTAAATATTAAAGACATCAAATTCAGCTCCCAGACACGTGTGGTTCTTATATGCAGACCCATCAATATTTTTGGCAAAAAAATTGCAAACGCATGAACCGGAGAAGCTAGAATGCTGAAATTTAATATTAATTTCCTTGTCCAAGTACCGTGTAGACAATTAACTTCCCGAACTTCGAGGACCATTATGTCATAAATCCTCGCTACTAGGTTTCCGAGTGATCTCATTAGGAATACTGCAAAAACGCATGATCCCACGGGCCCGCCCGGTGCGCATCGCCAGTGATTTTACTAAAGGAACAACATGGTAGGAACTTTTCTGTATTTATGCGTTTTGGCATCTTATAGGAATGCAAAAACGCACAATGCCGACAGCATCTGTTTGTGTATGTGTGTGTTCAGAAACAAGTGAACTCTGTCACTCACTTTTGACTCTGCAACACTACTGTCCAAATTGACACCCTTTTCTCCCACACGCAAGAAAAGAACAAAACACAAGCACATGAGTTGCACGATAGTAAACTGTAAAGCAACAATCATTCATACTGTTAAAGATCTGACTGCGTCAAGTTAAGCGCAAAAACGCGCGATCGCACGGGCAAGACTGATGCTTTGCTGCCTGGGCTTTATTAAAAGGTGGCTTGCGAGCTTAAGCATGCAAATCAGGCCCATGTGTTGCCAAAGGTTGCCCATGCCTGACATAGACAGTCCTGGTGCTTGTTGCCCGGATGCAAAAGGAACAACGCGCTGGCCTTATTCCACTCTTGCTTGCTGACTTTTAGACGGTACCTCTGCCTTTCTCTCTTTTTCCTAATGCACAGGAGAAATTCAATGAAAATTTATCGCGCCGTACTATTCTTTATTTTTTCTGCCACTGCAGAATGTACGGAGGACAAAATGGTACGAGCGAATCATGGAGTTTGCAGTTCCCCGCAATGGAGCCTCCAGTTGCCAATTCGCCTAAAGTTAGGACACCGGTAAGCTTTGGTGGACCGCTTACCCTGATCGTTTTTGGAGGCGAAGCAGTGGAAGCAACCGCTTACTTTCTAAAAGAAAATGAGCAAATCGAGTCGAATCCTCGTTTAGCGCACTGGAAGGTATGCTTTGTTATGAGTTGCTTAAAAGCAGTTTTACGAACTGGTCATGTCCGCTTCTCCCTGTCCGTTCAGTCATCCCTTGGCCACGTTCATCTATCAGACGTGATGATTTTGAACAAATCAAGTTAAATAGGCCATTTACAAAGAACTTGGCAGCGGTTTGGTTGAAATTATTTCAGCCTCATTACCTTTACCTCTCAGCCCCAAACCTCAAGTTCTCCATGCCTCCTTCTATCCAGTATTAGATTTATGATACTGGCACTGCTTGGATTATTGTCGTGGCCAAGAAATCCTTAAAAGAGCTTTTTATGCCTTTTTGCTCATATGCAATTGCAAAAACGCATATTGTGAGACCCGTGTGTGTCTGTCTGTCTGTTCGTCTTTCCGGGAATTTCAACTCGGCACCCAAGCAAACTCCGGCGTTAAAATTTTGCCAGTGTGCTTCTCGGCCAATTGACATCCCAAGACCGCGGTATCAACCTTCATGCGAGTCTGCGCCTCGCGTACGAGAGGGTGAAAGTTTTGACAAGAAAATCGCTAACTCAAGAACCACAAAAGCTAGAAAGCCGAAATTTTAAACTAAAATTTTCCCCCTCTACATGGAACTCAAAGATTTCAAATTCAGCCGCAAGGTGTGCGTGGTACCCGCGTATGGCCCCGTGAAGGTTGCTGGCGCGAAAATCGCTAACTTAGGAACCAGAAAAGCTGGGATGCTGAAATTTTCAAGGAATGTTCCTAGCTCATGTACAACAAAAATTTATCAGATTCAGCCTCTAGGCATTCGTGGTTCTCACGTACGACCCTGCAAAATTTTTTGGCTGAAAAATGGCTAACTCGGGAAATAGGAAACTGGGGCTGAATTTTTAAGGGAATTTTCTCAGCTCCCCGTAAAAGTTAAAGGCATCAAATTCAGTTCTCAGATACGTGTGGTTTTCATGTACAGACTCATGAAATTTTTTGGCAGGAAAATTGCTAACTCAAGAGCCAGAGAAAATTGGAAAGCTGAAATTTTAACAGAATGTCCCTGTCAAAGTACTGCATAGACAATTAACTTCCCGAACTTCGAGGACCAGTAGTTACAAATCCTAGCTAATAGATTTCCAAGCGATCTCACTACAGCACGCAATACTGCAAAAATGCATGATAGCACGGGCCCGCCCGGTGCGCGTCGCCAATGATTTTGCTTGCAAATTATTTGTTGGCGAAGTTTTATCAGTAATACGATTCGGGTAGCTAAAGTAGTAAGGATAACAGTTCCGCATGCCATCACATGCGAAATGGCGTAAATTTTGAACTTCTGACTTCGATTTTCGGACTAGTTGAAGTTTCAATCACGAAATGAAATTCGAACATTTTTCGATTGTGGAAGTTTCAGCTAGTACTTCGGAAACATCAGCTAAAGAATAGTTTACCTTAGAAAAATGGGAGCGACAGTTTACTTTAGAAAATTTTACAGCATCGATGAAACAAAAAGTCGCTATCTGGGCAATTCGCTTATAATGGGAATTAGAGATATCTAAACCAAAGCAAAGGCATAGTTCGAGTAGTTTCAAAAACATGGTGATTCATCGCAAAATCTCAATTTTTATGCGTTTTGTGCTTTGTAACAGCAGTACAAAACTCATATTGTCTTTGGGTTGTCTGTGTGTGCTTGTGTGTGTGTGTCCCACATTTTGTCCGCACTTTCAACTCGGGAACCACAAAAGCTAGGCGGCTGAAA